CATTCATTCATTCATTCATTCATTCATTCATTCATTCATTCATTCAATTTATACAGCCGCCCGTCTGGCTTACAAAGTTAAATAACATTTCCAGGCTTTTTTGTTTTTTTAATGTGCATTTCTAAAATGTAAGCTCTTAAAAAGTAAGATGGGAGGGGCAGGGGGAACCACTGCTTCTCATATATCTTTTGCAAGCATACATTCTGAAATGAACACAGTTTTTGCAGATCATAGAAAAGTGGGTGCCGGTGAAATCTCTCTGATTCAACCATCTATGTTGCTGCAAAAACATATTTGTGCAGATTTGGTCTCATTGATATCCTCTGGTGGATACGTTTTATTTATTGTGTTAGATTTATATCCTGCCATCCCTTCAGAAGCTAAAAAGGGGGTCTGTGTAGCTCCCCCACCTCTTATTTTCCCCCATAACAAAAACCCTGTGAGGTAGGTTGGAAGACACTGCCTGCCCCAAAGTCATCTAGTAAGACTCTGTGGCTGAGGATGTTATAAAGTTTCCAAAATCCAAGTGTCCCTTGTATGTTTATAGATCTCACTTAGGGTCAGTAATTCTTCCATGTGTTTCCTGTTGAGGCCTGCATCTCCTAGCTCTCTCCATTGGCCAGATCTCCTCGCTCCTGGTCCAGCCCTTCCCCACTACCCCACTCTGGTTCTCAGGCTGAGAAGAGAGGCTGGCCCAGAGTGCCTAGAGTTTCTGCAACAGAGGGGGAACCAGAAACCGGGTCTCCCCGCTTCTCCTCCAGCATCTTCATCACTACACTTCACTGGCTCTCCTTAGCCTGGAGTGGACCAAGCTATTCATCCAAGATTCCTTGGATGTTCCCACTCGCTGGGCCTCCTGAATGTTACTTCTCAGACCAGCCACCACTCCCTGATCTTCGCATCTGCTGTCACCCACCTGCTCCTGCAGGTTCAGTTTAATTCATGGATGTCTCTATGCATCATAAAACATCTCGGTAAGTATGTTGGGTTTTCCGTACGCAGGCAAAATTAGTGGACAGCTTCAATGTGCCAATTGTCGATGCGATAATCAAGATCTGGGTAGGCCAGATCCTGTGGAATGTTGAAAATACAACTGACGAACAAGGGCGAGTCCAGTTTTTCATTGACACCACGAACTTCACAGAGGTATCTGTTAGTTTTGAGGTGAGTGCTCCTGAGGAAGCTAAATTATTGATGGACTAATACTATAAGTCAACAACTTAATGAGATTACTGTAACATAACAATAAGTCTGTTAATGAGGTGGATATGACAGATATGTACCTCGGAAGTTAGAAAGGTAGAATAATAGAATTGGAAGGAAGCATTTAATCCTTAAGTTTCATCCCTTGGTTCAGTGCTGGGTGGGCCTTCTGGAGGATTTCAAAAAGCAGGGACATTTTTTGTGGGGGGAAGAATAAAAAAAAAAAGTCAAGAGAGCTGAGGGTCATCATCTTGACTTTTTTGATCCCCATGGGCACAGGGATCATCTCTTCCAGGTGCCCTGCTCAAAACTCTTCTGTAACTCCAACTGGCAGATACAAAGCTAGGTTCATCAACCCGCTAGGAATCATTTAGGAAAAGAGAACGAAAATGAAACAGCTGGCGCTGGTCAAGGAATAGCACTCATCCTTTTGGGCCATGGAAAAAACAGACAGATTTAGATCCAGGCATTCTCCTTTATCTGCCAGATTGCCTCCATCCATTTACAGTGTGAGGACACAGTAGGGTCATCTCCATCCTCCAGGACAAAGCTACGGAAGGATGTGCCTTAAGAAATGTTCAGAGCTCCACTTTTGAGACCGCTGGGCCACCTAGATTATAGAAAGTAATGTTTGGTTATGGACCTATCTCTCCCAGTTTCTTGGGCTCTGTGATTTTTCTTTTTCCCACCAGGCATTGTATAAAGAGGGAGATTGGTGTTCAGGAAACTGGCTTGAAGCAGAACATAAACGGGCTTATCATATTGCATCATACTTCTATTCACCCAGTCAAAGCTACATCAAAATTGTCCCTATATCTAAGATTCTAAGCTGTGGCTACACTCATCCAGTTCAAGTCTATTATGTCCTCAACCCGGGTCTAGTGAAAGAAAAAGAGGTTGTCTTTTACTATTTGGTGAGTATGAATACATTTAATTTTTACTTACCTCCCATGGGCTTTCAGAACAGAAGCAGACATAGCCCCAGTGTCTGCACCAAACTAGAGTGACGTCAAAGCGACCGTAAGTGAACGGTGACCTCATGATGCAAATGCCTTCATGGTGAATTCCAACCTATGACTCAAATATGTAAGCGATGGTTTTTCACAGCCTCACCTGACCCCTTTGCTCCCTCCATAGGAGCACATGGGAATAGCTTAGTGTTCAAAAAAGTTCCAGGTTCAGTCCCGCCAACCCAGATCTTAGGAAGTGGATCTGGAAATGATTTTTGCTTGAGACTCGGACTCAATAGCCAAAGAGACAATGCGTTGACTTAGATCTCAACCGATCTGGAGCAACACCAAGTGCTTGGGATAACATTTAACAAATGATATAAAATAAACACCCCAGTTGTTGGGCTTGGGACTCATCTCCAGCTTTTTGGGGCTCTCCATGGTGCTGCCCCCCATGTGAATTCTCCATGCACTTCCCTAGATCAGTGTTTCTCAACCTTGGGCACTTTAAGATGGGTGGACTTCAACTCCCAGAATTCCCCAGCCCCCAGGGCTG